TTCATGAAAATTACTCAGTTAAATAAAAACAAAAGTACATACTAATGACCAATCATATTAAGATAGGTCATGCAGTCCAGGGTAGGCGAAGATTGAAGTCTATTGATTTTTGTACACACAGTTTAGGCTGTATGTGATTAATCCAAAGTGCTTCCATCACCTTCAATAACCTTGAATTAGAGTTATGTGAAATAATTGTGAAACAGTCATTAATATTTATTTTGTGACCAGACATTAATAAGTGTTTTGCAATGGATGATGCTGGATTTCTATTAAGATTAATCGCGTTAGGATTTTCGATATGATTTACTAGCCATTTTGGAATATGTTCTTTTCGACGACATTGGAACATTCTGTTAGTTCTACCTATATAGGTGTCACCGCAGCTGCAGGTGAACTTGTAGATACAGTTTGAAGTAGAGTCCACAGAATTTCGTCCTTTAATCGTAGGAACAGGGATCGAAAATGTTCGGCAAGTGAGAAAAAGAGATGCGGCGTAGAATGTGCGTTTGATGGCTGATCGAAGTCTTTGAGTTGTCAACTGCATAATCTGGTCGCCCTTGAATGGTAGATTAATAAAGATGGCTTTCTTTGGTACAGAAGCTGTCTTTTCGAGATGTGGTTTTTCTTTGCTGTGACAAGTGATAAAGCTCTCCGGATAACCATTAGCTAATAAAACTGAATGTACATGTCGAAGCTCATCCATCAGTGTGTCACTCGTGCATATTTTTCGGGCCCTTGAGAACAAACATTTCACTAGGGAACGTTTATACTGGATAGGAACAAAACTGGTAAAATGAAGATATTGTCCAGTCCATGTTTGTTTACGAAAAATAGAGCGCTGAATCGTTCCATCATTTCTCCTAATCATAGTAATATCCAGGAAACCGAGTTTGTTATTCGATTCTAGTTCGGAAGTCACTCGAATATTTGGATGAATATGATTAAATAGAGTAATGAAGTTTTCAATAGATTTACTATTATTACCAATAATAAGAGTATCATCAACATAACGTTTATACAGCATAAATCCTCCAAGCATACCTTGCATTTGTTTCTCTAATTTCGACATAAATATATCTGCTAACAGGGGCCCCAGAGGGCTCCCCATCGCAACACCATCGATTTGTTTATATGCCTTTTCTTGGAATGTGAATCTAATATTTTCTGTACACATTAAGATTATGTCTTTGATGATAGACAAGTTTTATTTAACATTTACAGGTTGTTTATGTCTTCTCATGTCAGATATTATGTTCACAATAGGAAATTGATAGGAGTTTTTATAAGAAAGCTAACAAGCGTTTGTTTTTCTCTACTACTTTGGAATATGTTTATATCTTAGAGTATAGAATATGGATTTCATTAATGTCAATAAAACTTAACTGGATTTTAATTTTTGCAGATGATTCTTTTGCTGCAATAACAAAATCAGGATAAACTGTTCGCATTAGGGAGATGAGGGTGGGTGAAAGCGATGATCATTCCAAATGTATTCTTTGTAAGGCTTGTAGAGAAATCTAGGCATATGTTGTGTCCTCTTCAGAACTTATTAGCTGGATATTCCTACTAAGACTATGATCCATCACCCATCATTTTAAACGCCATGGTAACGCCTTAATATTTAATACAATAGATGTTACAATCAAGTCTGAATGGAAGTAATATTACTAACTGTGATGTGAATACAAAGAGCAGATGAGTCTTCCCACTGTTTGCCACACCAGCTTCATTAAAGCATTTAATTTATTCGAGTTCATCGCGGATCGATATCAGTTAGAGAACAATTGAAAACTATCAGAAAGTTCTGGACAGCTGTTTCTGTAGTCCTAGTTTGGGAATCATCACCAGTACGCACCCACTGTCAGGGTTTCAACCCAGGACTTTCCAGTTACAAGGCAAACTGGCTCGTATACCATTCAGCCACTGGGATCCAACCCGACCTGACCCGACCCAACCTAAGTCAATGGCCAACCCGTGGATTCTAACTTCCACAAATTTGCGATTTAGCCTTGGAACCGGAAGCTCCTAGTTTCAAACCCCAGTGGGTGCGTACTACCAATGATTCCCAAACTAGGATGAGACAACTGTCCAGCAATCCCCGATAGTTTTCAATGGTTCTCTGACTAATAGCAATCCGTGATCAACTCTTCAAAACAAATCTAATTTCTACAAACCAACTACAGAGAAAATTTAATGCATAGGCTAGCATCTAGATAATGCAGCTCAGCTGTTTACATGCTGGGCTGCTTCTAATCTCGACGTTACTTAAATTTTTAAAGCACCTTAACCCATTACATTTGGATCTATTTATTTTTGGGGATATTGTAGGAGAAATGATATTTCATCACAATATTTCAACGTATATTTGGGACATTTTTAAGAGGAAAACTCTGAGGAGACCACGGAATGACATCGCTCGCCAGGCCATTGCTCGAGTGGAACCCGAATGGAAAATGATCAGTGGGTGAAGAGGAGATCCTGTGATGAGGAGAACACAGACTATGGACAATTGTAAGACCAGCTAAAGAAGACAGTAGAGAATGGGACGAAGTGGAGATGTGCCGTTGAAGCCCTGTGCTCCACTCGGAACCCAAGGGAACAATATATATATATATATATATATATATATATATATATATATATATAATGGTAGCTAAATTTGTTGACGGTTATCATATTTTGATTGTTAGGTTTCTCCAACATCACTCACAGATTATTGAAGACCACGGAGATCTGGACAGCTGTTTTTCTCCTATTTTTTTGAGATTCTTCAGTGGTGCACACTCACGATCCTGAAAGAGATCAAACACGGGACCTTCAGGTTACCAGGCTAAGTTGGCTCACCATTTAGACACTGGGATCGGAATTTAATTACCCATGAAAGTATCGGTATATCACGAGTGGATGAATTAACATTCACAGGTTATTAAATGCCAGTTTAAGTGACAAACATCTTGGTCTGGCAACCCGAAGGTCCTGAATCCGATTCCTGTTGGGATCGTGAATGTCCACCAGTGAAGAATCCCAGAAAAGCAGGACGAAATAGCTGTCCAGCCTTCCTTGGTTTTCAATGATCTCTAACTGGTGCTAGTTCGTGACGACATCCTACAACTGGAACTAATCTGAATTCTCACAAATCTCATGATCTGATTATCACATTTCCTTGTTTATAGTAACTCTAAGTTTTGTCCCATTGTAGGCTTTAATTCTAACACACCCAAAAGTTTATCGCATCAAAATCATTTTCTTCTAATGGTTATATTTTCCGTTTGATATCAGCATTTTTAAGGTTTTCTGATGGATAACATTATATTGAAGTTAAAAATGCCAATTACACTTAAAAGACCCCCTTAGTTCGATTCAGTAGCTGTATGGCTGCAATGGCTGCCAACGCAATGGAGTGTAATGTAGTTCCAAATACCTTTAAAAAAACTTTGATTGGACACTAGTACCTAGCGTGATGCGTCTAGCCCTTTCTTTTGTGCAGACCGAATTCTGTCAGTCAGGTTTGCAATGTGTCTACCATTCTAGGTACCTCGCCATCACGATACACATTGATTTGATGATGTTAGATGGTTGGAGACAATCGGTATGAAGCCTTCAAGGCTTCGCCTCCACAATCTAACATCTTCAAACTTTAAAAAAATATTTACGCGCTACCTTCACGCTGATCCCTTCTCAGCGTTAGGCATCATCATTGAATACAGCATAAAATGACAGTCAAATGTCTATCGCAACTTCATCGACTTTGAAAACGCCTTCGATAGAGTTGACTGTGAAAAAACTCGCAGCTGCACCTTAAATCCCTATCACTGTCTTTGATAATGTCATTTTTTAAAATTTTTTTTATTACAGCTTGATTCCACACCGTATTTTTGGTACAAGTATGGAATTTTCAGCATGGATATCGGTAGCCCAAATTTTGCAGGCCAACCATAGATATCAAGTGTGCGTCGGCAGGGGATCGAACCTCGGACCATGTGTATGATCGGCGAGAATCCTAACCACTGTGCCACCGACATGTCATGAGAATGCTACACGTCAAGCGGTCCACAATGGAAAATTTAGAGATGTCTTTGAAGTGGAGAGAGGAGTTAGACAAAGGTGTCTACAATCGCCGATGATACTCCTGACTGTGGTGGATTTGATTATGAGACAGGCTAAAGTTAGTCAGTAGGCAGGAATACGGTGGGCCAACAAAAATCTCTGAAAGATTTGGATAGAAAGTCTAAATCCAGCAAGGCACAGACAGTGAAGACAGAACTCCAACTGAACATTTAGAAGAAAGAGGTAATAGGATAATTAACCACCACCAACAACAGGCACCAGTCACCATCAACTGGAGAAATTTGAAGTCATTTCTTTGACTTATTTGAGCAGCGTCGTTTCAACTGCAGGGAGATGGCACATATGAACATGTCAAAGTCAGGGGTCGGAAAGATAAGATAGACCTTCAAAAATCCAAAATCGCTGTGGAAATCTGCTTCTGCCGGTCAGCATAAACAACAGGAATCGAATTTCCACCGCTAATGTCAGCGCTTAGTCAGCACTTCCATACGATCCAGAGACTTGGCGTGTACGTCACAAAAAGTATTTCGAATATGGTTTAGACTTATCAACATCTGATTTCAGATAGCCAGGAGAAACAATAGGATCTTCTGGGAACCAACCAACCAAGAATCTCTTGGCCAATCATCATGCCTATCGAAGACATGTTGAAGAGGCCCTAGAGTGGGATCCTTACCGGAAACGACGAGTTGATCATCCGACTGTGATATGGAGGAGATTGTGTGAGGAAGAAGAAATGAGAGCTTATGCACAACTGTGAAGTCAAATAAAGGCAACTGTAGAGAACAGAATGTAATGAAGTTATGCTGTTGACGCCCTATATTCCACTTGGAACCTACGGAAAAGAAAAATAATGATAATATGTTTCGTAAACACTATTCCCTGCCATTTCCATTACATTATTTGAAAAGATAATTCTTATCAATAAGCGTATATTGTGTATATACTGTTTGTTTTTTCAAAAATATGAGGATAACATCATCAGAAAGATTCAATTTGGTTGCATATAATTCGAAAGAGAAAGGAAATAAAAGCAACTATGGTCACTTGTTTTATTTTTTTATAGTGGTTTGTTTGCGAAAGAAAGAAAATACTGAAACATCAAAAAAGACGAAAGAGTATCTGAAGGGTGGTAATTCGAGGGGAAATTAGGCGAACGCCGAAACTAGAGCTAATAATAATCATCAACATTATTATTGACAATTATTATTATTATATGAAAATGTACATAGGTGAAAATCTTATTGTCAGGAATTCAATATCTATCTACAAAGTTACATTTCTTCTTGTTGTTAAATGATATTCTATAGAATTTGATTTTTTTTTATAAACTGTGCATTGTACTCATTAATGATCGATTGTGTTGTAGGTTTACATCACAAAAATTTATTGGAGAACAGTAATTATCACTTTTATTATTAATAATATTATTATTGTTATTATTAGGAATAATTTTATTAGAATTATTATTATTATTATTTTGATGATTACATTGTAATATATGCTTATTTAATAAACCCATTCGAGAAAATGAACGTGGACAATATGCACAGGAATAGCGTTTTTCACGTTGATGTGTTTGCATATGTGCACGTAAATTTGATCTATCAGCAAATGAACGTCCACAGATATTACATGAATATGGTCTTTCACCTGTATGTGTACGTTCATGTCCTTTAAGTAACCATTTACGTGAAAATGACTTGCCACAATGTGAACATCGACATGGTAGTGTATGCGTTCTTACATGCATTTTTAATGCTGATGCTTGTGAATATACTTTTGAGCATAATTTACAAGCATAACTATTTGATGTAGTGTTATTACCTGTTATTTCTGTCTGATTTTTATTATTATTATTGCTGTTGAGAGAATTCTTTGGTATTATTGAATTTGTAGATGACTGTCTTTTCGATTTTATACTACACATTTCATTGATACAATTTACAGGATCCCTTGTTAATGGTTTGGTTAATTTTAATGGTGATAAAGATGAGGGGGGAATTGTTGAAAGACTGTTCAACATTGCAGATTGATAATTATTATCTGATAGAAAATTTGACTGGACATCTCCATATAAGTGGAATAAATTGTTTGCATAATTCAAACTAAATAGATCTGAATTCATGTGTGTAATAGAATTGCGAACTGTTGTTGCTGTTGTTAAACTGTCAATAAGTTGACAATCTATTGGACATTGATTACCTCCTAGAATAGCATTCATACCATGAATATCATCATAGGATTTATCATGAGTAGGATAATAATTATTTTTATCCTGAGATAACTGAGGGATAGGAGTTGAAACAGATGGATTACCTGATATGATTTGAGATGGTTGACACAGAAGATATTTTAACCATTCGAAATAATTAAATTGTAATAATTTAGTATAGTATTCATAAAGCATTGAATTAGATAGCGATTCATAATTTGTCGCATTACTGGGATTTTTTACTTCAGGTTGAGGTGGAGATGGTGACTTGAGTAAATCGGCTTCTTTCATGGACAAATTAATCGCGTGGTAGTCATCAGATGACTGTTCATTACTGTCATGATATTTATTATCATAATGACACTGATTATGTTGTGTAAATTTATCCGTATTAAACTTATAATGTTGTCCTATACTCTCATCAATGTCATGTATACTATTCAGTAATACTTTACCCTTCTTGGCCTTATTTAAAAATATATCCGTTTTATCTAGTGTATTGTTTGGTGAAGACGGAAAATGAAGTGTATTCATCATTGTTTCATTTCTCATACCCTGATATTGTTGTCTGTCGTCATTATCTCGTTTATATGATAGTTGAGAGAAGTCTTCTTTAATCTGTTGTTGGTTATCTGTCTGATGAGTGTTCATCTCTGTTGAATTGTGCTGTGATTGATTACACAGACTAGAATTGTATGGGCTAGACTTTTCAGATGGACTAGGCAATGTAGTCCCTAAAGTTGTATTACTACAATTAAAATCGGATAGATTCAAGTCATAATTTCCTCCCCGATTCATTGTTAAATCATGTGCAGTTTTCTCTGGAGATGTTTCATTTGTAATTTGTGGTAATACTGATGGAAATTTTTGCATAACATCAAATTGTGGTAGAGATTTACAAAGTTTATGTAATAAATCTTGAAAGTTTTGTGTATTATTATCATTTAATTGTTGGTGTTGATGTTGTTGGTGGTTGTGTTGCTGATGTGGTTGTTCATTCAAACAATTACTAAATAACTTTCTGTTTAAATAATTAGCATATATAGATAAATCAGTCGAAGCGGGTGAATTCATTTGTGTAGGGGAATAGAATTTATTAAATGCATCGGATATATTCTGTATGAAATTCATGTCGATTACTGATGATGACGACGACGACAACGATGATGTTGATGGCGATGGATGTACTTGAGGAGTATGCTGACTAATTTCACGATGTGAAGACATCCATGTATCTGTAGACATTTGATTGAAATACAATTAGTGTTGATGACGTTGAATAAGGCTTTTGAGATAAATCACAAATCAAAATATACACCTGTAAAGTACATAGATAAACAAATGTAATTTGGTTATTGGTTATTCAGTATTATTAAGTGATTATTATTATTATTTGAGACAAGATAACATCAACAAAAGTGTATTTTAAGTCCAATACAAAGTCCATATTAACTATATCTATATACACATATAAGTATAATCAAAGGAACTGTCGATACTTTGTCTTAGTTGTGTGTTGTTTTTTTTTCTTTTGTGCATGAGATTCAACATTTTTACCTAACTTGAACTCAAAATTATGATGTCAACTTGTGTGTATTTTAAAGTATAAAATAATTGTTCAAAAGATTTGTTTTAACAGACAATTTGTATTTAAAGTCAAGCTAAAAACTGTAATTCAATCGACATGATTTGTGAGAAATTGGAGCTCCTCTTCCATACAATCGCTGCTGCAGATTTTTCTAACGCGATAGGTTAGTGCTCTGATGACAGCTCGTTTTCGGCTCAAAGGTATCCAACTATAGAAATGCAATAGTTGGCCATTCCATGTTGGTTTTCTGTGGATGGACCTCTTTAGGGTTCCATCATCTCTTCTTGACTCTACGGCTTACCAAAGGTGCACAAACCTGGATTGCCGCTTCGACCGATTCTAGACATGTCAGGGTCACCATACCATCCAACCACCAAATGGTTATCCGAAATCTTGGAGCCGGTAAGACAACACCTATGCAAATACTCTCTTCGCGATACTTTTGAGGACATTGAGTGCATAAAAGATTTGAATGTAAATGATAAACGAATGTTATCACTAGATGTTGAATCTCTTTTTACCAACCTGCCACTAACAGAAACAATTTGCTTTCTAAGCAATTATATAGAGAAATCTAATATAAGCATCGGAGTACTAATATCCTATCTGAAGGAATTGTTGCTGAGATGCACGCTGAATGTACAATTCACCTTCAACGGCGACATCTACAGACAGAAAGATGGAATTGCAATGGGATTTCCTCTTGGCCCGCTTTTAGCAGACTGCTTTATGGCCACTTTGGAGAGTAGAGTTTTAAAATCAACAATAAACAAATTACTACTATACCTTGACGATACCTTTATAGTCCGCTACGGTAACTCGGACTTCAACTGCATCTTACAAAAATGTAACTATTTCCATCCTTCGATTAAATTCACAATGGAATTAGAAAACGATTCAAAGATTCCATTTCTGGACGTGGAATTGACAAGAAGAGATGATGGAACCCTAAAGAGGTCCATCCACAGAAAACCGACATGGAATGGCCAACTAACGCATTTCTATAGTTGGATGCCTTTGAGGCGAAAACGAGCTCTCATCAGAGCACTAATCCATCGCATTAGAAAAATTTGCAGCAGCGATTGTATGGAAGAGGAGCTCCTATTCCTCAAAAATATCCTGGCTCAAAATGGCTACCCGACACGTTTTGTCGAAAAGGACATGATTTGTGGCAGTAGGTTGCTCACCAGCCATGCATTTGGTTCTAGGGTTCAATCCCTCGCCTACGCACACCTCCACCTCACCTCACCGTCAGTCGGTTTTAACCTCAACAAAGAGGGAAGGTTGAACGTAGGGCTAGTAAACCCATCCTGTAAAAAACATCACTGCTACTGAAACTTAAAGACTGAAGCTTGAAGCACTATGTTCCATTCAGAATGCAAAAAGGAATTAAGTAAATAAATTCAATATGATGAATAATGTTGATTAGGGTGAATTTGGGGAATATATTGTCTAAATACTACTAAATGAGTAAAAGAGTAACCAAAAACAATTTGTTTTGTTATTGTATAACCAAATCCATGTGAAGTCTTGTAAACTAGGTGATCTTGTAGATATTCTGTCTAATTCTACATAGATTACGATTACTTTAATATTACCCGGTTAGACTGTTGATTCTGTTTCACTTAATTACTCCGATATATCAGTGGTGAATTTATCTTTAAATGGTCAGGTTAATGATCACTAAAAAATTGACGTCAGTAGGATTTCAGTTAGCCTTATCGGTTTCTGATATATTCATAGGACAGAATTTGTTTTTTTCTAGAAGCATATCCAGTTTGAAAGTGTATGAAAGTGTCTGTATGTTAGGGCATGTAGGTTATGTAAACAGCATGTGTTGTTTTAAAAATTCCATTACGTTCCCAGTGGAACATAGGGAGCTTCATCAAGCTAGAGGCTTGCAGTTTCAGTAGCAGTGGTGTTTTTATTTTTATGTGATTAGGTTGCTGGGTTGCCTCATGCTCAACCTTCCCTCTTTCCCTGCTTTTTATTACTGGTTTAGCGAGGTGAAGGAGTGCGTCGGTCGGGGATCGAACCCCAGAGTATGTGCATGGTCGGCGAACGTCCAAGATATAATATTTAGTCAGAATTTAACAGCATCATTTAGCTTCAACCAATGAAAGTTACTTCCCTCAAGTTATTCCTCATAACTGTCGTTGAATGTCAATGAAGTCTCGCTTACATTTACAAAAAAAAACACGAAACATCTTCCTTCTTCTTGGTTCTCACAGATGACACTGGTTGGTGTCAGCCTCGCTAAAGTCACGAATTGGCAGAAGTTAGAATCCACGAGTTAGCCATTAAGTCAGGTCGGGTCCCAGTGGCTGAATGGTATACGAGCCAGCTTGCCTTGCAAACGGAAGGTCCTGGGTTCTAACCCTGACAGTGGGTGGGTACTGGTGATGATTCCCAAACTAGGACCACAGAAACAGCTGCCCACTACTTCAATGCTGGTTTTCAATGGTTCTCTAACTGATATCAATCCTTGGTCTAACCTGAAACAAATGAAATCCCTACAAACTAATTCAACAAATTTTTATTGATAAGTTTAGCTCGTATAAATAGGCAATTTATTTCTAATTTGATCTATATTCTACCCTCGAAGATTTAGTCTTTATTAAACAATGTCATATCCCATTGTACAACCATGGATACTTCTTATACAAGTATTATCGATATGACATATTTATGTTTCAAATAATTTAATCACTATTTAGTTGTTAGTGCTGGTGTCTTTTGTTGTTGTTGTTGTTGTTGTTAATTTTACATTTCCAACATCTTCACTTCCCTACTTATTGGTGACCAACTGATTTATGGCAATCAAAATAGCCATTTTAGAAGAAGAATGTATAAACTCTGTCCGGTTTTACTGTTTTTACTTATAAATTCATTTAGAGGTTGAATCAAATGACTTTATGAAATATAAATTTAATTCCTTTTACAAAATAGAGAATGAAATCGTCAAAATTACAGATAATAAAACCACTTTTCTAGTTAAGGTGGTCATAAAACACAAGTCAAATACACACTCCTTAAATTTCACAAACATCTAAGGTACATATATAGATATAATAATGGAGTGATATTAGGCTGTGAGTTCGTTTAACCTGGCTAGAATGTACCTCTAGAACGATATACTTATCCAGATGTCCTCTGAAGTGACACGTGTTTTTGTTATTTTTTTTCCAAGCACTTATTTTTAAAAATTATTATTGAAGGGAGAAGTAACCACCATTTACAGTCCTGTGTAACAAACAACAAAGTATAATGGACATAACTTATAGATTATTTACCACATTCATTACAAATCACAAATAAATTAAATCTATATAATTGAATAAAGGACAATCTTGAGAAGCTTTCTTATTAAATGAATTCAAACCTCAGCCGGTGCGTACTGGTGAGGAGCGTCTTAAACTAGGCTGACGAAACAGATTGCTAGTACTCTATGCAGGTTTTCCAATAGTTCTCTAACTGATATCAATTCATAATGAAATCTTCCAACCAATCATACAAAATTCCCTACAAAATCAATACTTGAAAATTGTTCTTGAATTAATTAAAATTCGATTAAAACATGCCACCGTCCTACAGATTAGTGGGATGGAATTCACTGTCAATAATGCATGGAAAGCGCAGGAGTGATGATGTTAATTCGTGGAGAAATCTCCTTTAGAATACTTTTTATATCTATACAACATTTTTCCAATTATTTATTTTATGCCTTCATGTAGTCAGTGTGTGTGTATGAAAACAAAATTCCGGGGAAGACAATTTTATTTTCATGATACTTCCATTATCAAAAGGATTAGATTTCAGAAGTACATTTATTTATGTATTGTTCAAGTTTTTCATAGAATAGTTAGTATATTACTTTACCAAGTTGAAACATGTCGTCATTATAAACAGATTTTGGACGTTAAAAAAAAAGGTGTTGCTTTTCTCAACTAATCATATCCGATTTATTAAAATAAAGATGAAAATTAGGGAAAGTTATTTGAAAAATTGAAAACATTTGAAATCTTGTGGATTTTGAAGTCATCCATTGATTTAATTAATATTGAAACAACAACAACAACAACAACTCTGAAGAGTTCAAAAGTAAGACGAAACAGGTGTCTAGTGCTCCATGAGCTTTATTTTTCCCCCTAAATGATGTCAGTTCATGACGAGAACAACCTTGAAACCAATATACCAAATGAAACGTGAATTACCTATACAGTTGTTTTAAGACCAAAGAATATGAGATGAATTTCGACTAACACTCATACACACCTACTTCTATGTCATCATCATAATCAACTCATGTCATGATACAGATGAACAGATAGAAAATTGTAATTTTTTCAGTAACTAAAGTCAGCAGCAAATGCTGAAGTTCTATGAAGTTCTGGTCGTAATGGAAAATATGGTAAGTACTGGATTATAACCGGGTTAAATCATTTCTAAGGTTATAAGTCTACTGCATTAACTGACATAAAAGTAGATGAATGATATATTTACAAAATTCTCGATAAAATTTATAACTAAATGATATTCTACTATATTAAATTTAGTGTTCATAGGGAAAAATCAAGAATTTGGCGACTTGTTTAAATCATTGGGCCATCTAAACATTTTATTCATCTAAAATGCATCGTTTTTACTCCACTTCAAATTGTTCTAATCTTCTAATTACCACAATGAGTCACAATCTATGCTTACACACCATTTCAAATCACTTTCTATCT